AACTATATAAAAGAAGAAAGAGACTTTTCTGGACATTTTATTTGATTATTTGCTGAAGCAAAAGGAGAAAATTACTATTGGTAGTTCATGACAACATATTTTTCGATGTCTTGGTATATAGGTTTTCATTATATAAACAATTTATAACATTTGTTTTACTTGGTCCATACCATAATGCTTTAGTATGTTCCAGGAATCTTTAATAAATTAGCAAGTTAAGTTTCAGAAAAGAAGGATGACTCCTGTAGTATCAAAAATTTCCTAAGTGGTTGGCTACAACTGAAAAAAAAATTTGCACTTAATGAAAGTATACCGTGTTCAAGATAGTATGTAAGCAATTTACATATGTTGCTTATTTACTTTTTATTAGTCAGGATTCTTCCAACTGAAAATAACTGTATACCAGACTCAAACTAGTTAAAAGAAAAGAATGGGTTGTGTGTGTGTGTGTGTGTGTTTGTGTGTGTGTGTGTGTGTGGATGCGCACACGTGGTAATGCATGGCTCAGCTAGAAAATTCTGGAGAATCTTTAGTCATAGTTGAATTTGTGTTAAATGTGATGAGGTTGCCAGGAACTCATCTCCCCCTCATTCTCTTGTGCTTATATATTATTTATTCTCAAATAAAGATCCTGCAAGTAATCACCTGGACAGTGCCAGCACTACTAGATTTACACAGCTTTAGCAGTCCCTATCTCAGAAAGAAAGAGCTTCTTACTTACCTATGTCTTAGGAGGACTTCCTTATACATCCATAGTTATTGGAATCACTAGAACAAAGAAATGCTTTATTCAGTTTCCCTAAAATGTGCATGTCTTTGGAGCTGGTAAAAATATATGGATATGATGTAAAGAATTGTTATCCTCCACCGAGAGTCTTAGAATGGGAGAAATGTTTCCATAATATGTATCAGTATATTATTACCAAAAGAAACAAAAAAGATTCTGGGTAGACCTTAAGTATAACAAGTATTCATTACAAAGTACACACTTATCTCTTGTATTTTACACAGATGCCAAGAGACTTGAAGGGGAAAATATTCTCTTTCACTGAAAGGATATCTTAGTCATGGTGCTTTTCTCCTTAGGACATAAAACCATATCTCATTTTGTGAAAAACAGTAAAAATGATTTATAGTTCGGAGTACATTTAAGGAATGCCATTCTCAATACCTCAAGAATGATATTGAAGAGCTAACTATATTATCATCTCCAAAATAAAGGGTGCAAAGGAAATTTTATGTAGACACCAGTGATTGGGAGTTTTATGGATGTTCTGGAATGTACATCTCTCAATGACTAGCATTTTAATGAAAACACACTCCTTAAAACTCTAAATTCTAGACCATAAATTCTAGTGCTTGTCACTACTTATCTTTGCGTCCAGAGTGCATAGAGTGCCAGATTTGTTGAAATATTCATTTTTTGTTGCTGTTGAATCAATGAATGAAAGTTTATGAAAGAAAATTCAGCACTAGATAGATAGATAGATAGATAGATAGATAGATAGATAGAAACGTATAGATATAAGTGAGTGGTAAAGTACATGAGTAGAGCAAAAGCATTTTCTATAGAGAGACTAAGTATTTGTGATTTTATGTTGTTAAAATAAAACTATAGGTTTTATAGTTTATACTGCTGATAATTTTTTGAGAAAAACTAAATATATATACATATACAAACGTATATATATATATGTAGAGAGAGAGAGAGAGAGACTGTATTGTGGTGCCACAGCAAACTGAAATATCTCTAGAATTTGAAAATTGATTTTTCCATTAAGTATTGGCTTGTAGTATGGCCTAATTAAAATGGTCTAAATTAAATCTGTCTTTTAAGAGTATATATCTTGTGGAAAGAATCACATAGTATACGAAAGATGTATAAAGTGGATCCTTGTAAAATGGTATACATTGTTGGTTCAGATATTCATTTCTGAAAGTCCAAATCCAAGAGATCTTGACCAATCAGGTAACTATCGATAACTTGTTAGAACTCTGCTCTGTGCTTAAGAATTCAGTCCCACTAACTTAAACTGAGAAGCTTCTGCACTTCAAAAGATACAGTGACCAAAATACAAAGACAGTCTACAGAATGGGAAAGGATATTCACCCAATACCCATCTGATAAGGAATTGATATCAAGGATATACAAGTCACTGGTTGAAATCCACAAGAAGAAAATATCCAACCCCATGAGAAAATGGGGTGATGAAATGAACAGAAACTTTCTGAAAGACGAAATCTGAATGACCAAAAGGGACATGAAAAAAATGCTCATCATTACTAATCATCAGGGAGATGCAGACCAAAACAACAATGAGATATCATCTCACACCACAGAGATTGGTCCACATCTAAAAGAAGAAAAGCAACCAGTGCTGGTGCGGATATGAGGAGAAAGGAACTCTCCTTCACTGCTGGTGGGAATGCCGACTGGTTCAACACTTTAGGAAGACAGTATGGACACTTCTCAAAAAATTAAAAGTTGAGCTCCCATTTGACCCAGAAATACCTACCACTTCAGGGAATATATCACAGAGATGCAAAAAAGTATAGTAGAATTGATATCTGTTCTTACATTGTAGCACTGTTTACAATAGCTAAAATCTGGAAAAAACCCAAGTGCCCGAGAACAGATGAGTGGTTAAAAGAACTTTGGTACATCTACACAATGAAATACTATGCTGCTGTTAGAAAAGATGAAGTCATGAAATTTTCATATAAGTGGATCAACATGGAGAGTCTCACGTTAAGTGAAATGAGTCAAAAAGATACAGACAGACATAGAAAGATTGCACTCATTTGTAGAATATAAAGTAACAGAATGGGAGACTAACATCCAAGAATAATAGAGATAAGTACCAGAAGGATCAATCCACAGCTTAGAAGCCAGCCTCACTTGCTGGGGGAAAAGGCAGCTCAGACAGAAAAGGGACCACCAAGTAAAGGGTGCTAGGAGTACTGTAAAAAACTCCAAGGGCGGCCAGGGGGTGGCCCCAACGGCTCTCTCCCGGCCACCCAGTTTCTTGGGGGCTGGGGCCGGCCCCCATTTGGGGTGGCCTGGGCTCTGGCGCAGACGGCGGAGAAAGCTAGAGCCAGGGCGGTTGATTGATCAGATGCCATTTATTCCATTCTCATTACTGTTCACTTCTGTCTCTCTCACTCTCTCCTTCTCTCCCGGGCCCCAATCTGGAATCCCCCTTTCCTAGCTCTGGCTCTCGAACTTGATCTCCCCCCCCCCGCCCCAGCCCACTCTTCTAGTCTCATTAAATCCCCAAACCATGAGAGACTGGGGCTTACACATAGATGTGGTCACAATCAATAGGGGTAAAGTTCTTTCCCTCAGAGGATGCTGCCTCTAGGACATATTCTGTTTCAGCAGGACCACCCACTCAAAGGTGCAACCCCATGGGTGTGTTTCTCCTCTCCTTGTCCAACAAATATATAAGCATTCATATTATTAATCATTTTGTGTGGACATAGTAAGAGATGCATTAAGCTTATAGAATTACTCTCCTGGGGCCATCTCGATCTCAGACTACAGTGCTCAGGCCAGATTTGTCTTTCCTATCCCTAGCGGGGTCCTAGTCTCATCATTACTTTTGGATCATGACAGCATTTGTCATGATCAAGTTCTTCTAGTTAAGAATCATGGCGCTTTGACCTGGTTCCATCCAGTCCCTCATCAGGACCCTGCTGTTGGGGGCGCTAGGAAGTGAGGGCAACTGAGACTTAAGTTGAGAAAGCAGATGCCCAGGAATGAATAATATTCAAAGCCAATTAAATCCCAAGTTACAAAAGCATTATATTAATTATCTTCTTGTGTCTATACAAAAGGACATTGCTTTAAAATAAACATTCAAAAGACATAAGGAGAGGAGAAAGGCAATATTAACTTACAATATAAGTGTCCTAGAAAGATCTGACCTTACAAATTAACAGAAACAGGTTAGGGGAATAAGCTGATTAACTGTTTTGGAAAGAGAACATAGAGAAGTGCTTACAGATAAACAAAAGAATGGGAGTGTCTCAGGAGCACTTTGGTGGGTGTGACCTGATAAACCTAAGCACCTTGTGGCAAGGGAGAAAGGACAAAGCAATGTTATCCTACAGAGGACCTGCTCAGAATGGGAGTTGTGGGCCATAAGTAGACTACAGACCAAACATGACGGCCATCTAATACCTCTATTGCAAACCACAACACCCCAAAGAGAAAGAGAACAAAAGGGAATGCCCTGCCACAGAGGCCGGGTAGGGTGGATGGGACAGGCTGGGGTGGTAAGAGGGATGCTGGGACCATTGGTGGTGGGAAATGGGCACTGGTGGAGGAATGGGTATTCAATCATTGTATGACTGAAATGCAAGCACAGAAGTTTGTAAGTCTGTAACTGTACTTCATGGTGATTCACTAAAAAAATTTAAAAAATAGAATTCAATTCCAGTGAGATTTGAATTTGAATAAAGAATGCCTGAGATAATACTTTTAAAGAGAGTATAAAGAGCCAAAATGTAAACCTGAAGGGATCTGTAAAAGAATCTCTTGGCTGAATATTAAAAGTTTTAAAAAATATAGGTTAAACAAAATAGCTATTAGAAATAAGTTTAGCATAAATTTTAAAGTCCCTTATTTGTAACTATGAAGGACCCAAACAACTGTGACGTTGTATATTTGTGTTATTTTACCTACAAAATCATTCCTCCAAATTATGTAGTCTCATAGAATCCGAATCAACCACTATTAATAGTGTAAAGTAAAAGTACCACAGGGATTTAAAGCTGTTCTTTCTTCTATTAATATGTAAACTAAGTTGTTTATTAGCTATTCTAATTAATGTATATGAAAGCTGGCATACATGTAATATATTCATTTGTAGTAACTGATGAAAATGGAACCAGTGTAGTGAAGAGTTTGTCAAAATACTAGCTAATAAGATACCAGCACAACTCTAAATGAACCAAACTAAAGAAATTAAAATGGATTTTTTTTCTTATTTCTTTTATGTCAGATGGGTAATGTGCCAGTGTATTACAAGACTTAAGGGAAGCACATGTCACACAAATGTGTGAACACCGAGTAATCATGCTTATGAACCGGAAAAGGAGCCTGAATATGTTTTTACTTAAAAGTCAGACTTACATAATACATTTTTATCATAGAGCCAGGCACATACTAGATATTCAAAAAATCTTTTTTTGTCTGTGGAGATCTTAGATTTCTAGTTATATAAAGTTCATTTTCATATAGAAAGATTACCAATACAGATTTACCAATACAAACTGTTTTTGTTAGAGTCTAGGAGAAGTTCATAATGAGTTTTATTTTATGGAAAAAGTACTTAGACCATTAGTGGTCTTAAAATAAGTGGAATCTACTCATTATTTCAAGAAAACAGAAAAAAGGTAACAAAATAAAGAGATTTTAATAAATTCCTATTTTAATTCAAAATGAATCCATAGCTCATTTTGAAGTATCCTTTTTGTTAGCTTATTTTTAATGGCATGAATAATGTTTTCTGTGGGTTTCTTTAGGGAGAAAAGTGATGATTTATGTAAAATATTTTCTTATAGTATGCTTAAACATTAAGAATAAAAGAAGTAAGTCATTTCATTTAAGAATACTTAATTATTTTCAGCACTGATAGTTTTATCTTTGGAACCCCAGTAACTTAGACTTGCTTTCATGCATTTTATTTGGTACTGTGACTATAAACATTCTATTCAGTCTATACTCAAAAAGAGGTCATAGATGTTGTTCATAGAGCCACAGTTGTCCTTGGAAACTGTAGCAGGGAACTGTCGTGACTTCTTAAAAATAAAGAAGTAGGACCAAGAGATAGATAGTACAACAGGTAGGGCATTTACCTTTCACATAGCTGACCTGGGTTTGATCCCTGTCATACCTGTGGTCCCTCAACCACCAGGAGTAATTCCTAAGTGCAGAGCCAGGAGTAATCCCTGAGCATCGTTGGTATGACCCCAAAAGCCAAAAAACAAAACAAAAATAAAAATTAATAAATAAATTAAAATACCATTAATATAATATAATCTAGATAGTTTTATATTCTCATTTTATGTGAATACACCCAAAACACATACACATACTTTAGTTTTCATGGTTTTGGTATATTCTCTTCCCATAGAAGTTTTTCCACTGTTCCTTGAAGAGAATTGCTAATAGAAATTGGGAGGCATCATTAAACACATTCTTCTATTTCCAGTAGCTACGTAACCTTTAGCATATTCCCAAATAATATATCCAGATTATAGTTGAAATACTTATTTTCAAAGAAAAATTGGACAGATTTTTAACAGGACTGAGTTTAAGGAGACTGATCAGTGAAATGAAGAATTTAAAATCTCTTTAATTACTATTAGAGTCTATAAAACTTTGGGGATGTTGCTGATTTTTGAATGTTTTAATCTGTGAATTTTAGAATATAATTTGAAAATTATAATATCAAGTGCCCATATTATGTATTCTAACTATATTCAGAAATTGTGCTTATAAGTTTTGTCTGACAAGCATTCAATTCTTCTTTAGTAAAATTGAAATTATATTCATTAATAGTTTTTTAGTTTTTATTAGAAATAAACTAAAGATGATACATGGGATATTTATTCACAAATAACCCTGACTTTTGAAATAGAGGTCAATATAAAATGTGAGATTTGATATTTGTGGTGTTTAGCATTTAATGATCTTAATATTTTTTAAATTTTGTGCAACTCAGTTCATTTTAACATTATATTGACATTCCTCAAAAAATATTTTAAATGTTCTTGTATCTGCTGCATCTTTAGAATTATAAGTTATTAGCTATGCTCAGACTTCAAAAATTAATGTGTGTTACTTACCTAACTTGTGTATCTTAATAGAAATATCTTTTTTTAAGAAATATATTTGTACTTTCAAAAATACAAATTTAGTTTAGCTCCAGATTTTGAAATCTGAGTTAATTTCTGAGACTACATAAGGTGTACCTGGTTGGTAAAATTATGTAATTTAAGAAATTGCTTAATGAAATAACACTTCTGAATGCACTACATGTATTAATGAATTGTTTATTTGTATAGCTTCCTTTAATTCCCCAAATTTTGCATTTTAATCTAAATTTAGGAATATCCAAATGAACATTTCAAACTTAAAAAAAATTGTGAAACAATAGACTTCTTTACGAATAGGTATGCTAGGTCTGGAGTAAAGCCACAGTTATGTTTATGATTTGAAAACCATTTTGAATTATTAATGAAATATTTTACTGCCTCTAAACAGCTGCATATCAAATATTTGGTTCTTAGCACTTGAAGTTTGTAATACAATTATAAAAATTTATTTGTAGCAATATTTTTGTATGATCTAATTATTACATGAATGTTAATAAAGTTTGGCAGTGCTATTTTATAATCTTGGTTTTGAGATTTAAGGGTCTCACTTAAAATTTCATATCTGCAATTTAAGAATAGGTACTTGGCTCCATTACAAAAAAATATAAATAAACAAATAGAATAGACACTTGACTTTAAAACAGAATTTTTTATTTCTTAAGACATTTGCACATTATTTTCCTCTTTCATAATTATAAATACACCAAAGATGTGGTAAGGTGTTTATATTAATGTATTTTAAATATATAGGATCTAAGTTTAAGCATATGATTTAGAATAAAATCAGTATCAGATGCAGCACTGTAGCACTTTCTTCCCATTGTTCATTGATTTGCTCGAGCAGGCATCAGTTATGTCTCCATTGTGAGACTTGTTACTGTTTTTGGCATATCAAATATCTCACGTGTAGCTTGCCAGGCTTTGGCGTGCGGGAGAGATACTCTAGGTAGCTTGCTGTGCTCTCCGAGAGGGGTGGAGGAATTGAACCTGGGTCAGCAGCATGCAAGGCAAACACTACCCGCTGTGCTATCGCTCCAGTGCAATCCAATATATATCCCTGATTATTAAGTAAATATATGAATGGTTAAATAAATTGAAAGCAGTAAACTTATATCTAAACATTTTTCCTTTGAAAAATATTAATGAATCTTGGGAATGACAGATAATAGAGGGATTAAAGAATTTGCCTACCAGCTTGAAATCCCTACCACCAGATACAGTCCCCTAAACCCAATGATGGATCATTTATGAGCAGACCATTATCCTGAAATTATCTGAATGTGCCTAAAACTGTGCCAGGCTCCTTTCCCTTTCCAAATAAACTATTATATTATTTCATTGCTTCTTTCTTTGATTTAGATCGGGGTACAGTACAGAAGGTGGTGGTTCTTCCGACAAACAGCTCTGCCAGTGGTGAGCTCATTCTGGAGGAGTTGGAAGTCTTCAAGGTTTGAACATCTTTTCTCTGAATCTTAGAACATAGATAGTAAATTAAAAATGGAATTCTTTCATTTTTATAGTCATTTTAGAGAAAGAATATATTTGATAAAAGACCCACTAAAATCTATGTTATAAATTTTAAAGGGAGTTTTTAAATATATATTCTAAGTTAACTTAACATAAAAGGATTCTTTTTATCAATTGTCATCACAATTTAAAGAATCTGTTCATTTTTTTTAATGAGTTCTGTGGTCAAGGCCTAGATTTTCCATGAAAGGGCTGTTATCATTGCTTTGCAAGCCACTAAAATCCCAAAGCTTTCACATTTCTGATTGTTAGATAAACTTTCTCTTATTTTTTTAAGCCAGGAATTTCAAGAAAAACTGCTTTATTCCTTCTTTTTTATTGCTTTGGATTCAAATGTACATCTAGTTAAATAAAATTACCCCTTCCTACCCCTTTTCTTTTACCAGTCAAAAATGTTTTGTGTGAATTTAAGTTTTCCCATTGTGTTATTCTCTTTGTCTTTGGGATTTACATACATGAAATAGACACACATGCAGTGAAAAAGACATCACACACAAACACAGTGGAAAAGGCATCTCTCTCTCTCTTTCTCTCTCTCTCTCTCTCTCTCTCTCTCTCACACACACACACACACACAGTTAAAAAAGGCATATAGAGTAAAGTTCATTCCTCTATACTCTAACCTACCTGGGGAAGCATACTTATTCTTCATCCCTCTATAAACCTAGTAGTTTAGATTTGGCTGAAACACACTGTAATCCCTAAGAGGTAGCTCATTGTAATTCATGTGGTCCCTTTTACCAGTATTTAGGAAGATGGGTAAAGCCCAGCCAGAGACATTTCTAGGATTGCAAAGAAACTTTGGCATGGAATCAGTCCTACTGCAGACTTCTATGTTTAGATGAACCATTTAAGAAACCATACCCATAGATGATAAAAGATCAATCTATAACAATTGAAAAAGCAGTGTTTCTCAACCCTAGAGCAGAAGATTAAGAGTTCAGTAAGTCCTGTTATGTTTTAAGTGGACCCAGAGCATATTTATTATATTAATATACATTTCCACAGTTGCCAAAAATATTGACTAAATTTGCAGCATAATACGTCATAAATGATAAAGATGCAATACTGTTAGATTGCGGTAATAGAGTGTACATTTTAAAAAACTTAAAAAGAAATCAAATACAAAATCAGAGCTACAATTAGACCAGGTATACAGGGGACGTAGCTTAGGAGTACAGCACTTGCATTTGATGTGCGAGGCCTTTGGTTCAATATCTGGCACTGCAGGAACTAAAATAATAAAATAATGAGAGCAGGGACTGTGTGGACGCCTCTTAAGAAGCCTCTTAGGTGACCAGAGAAGAATTGTAGAGGGTAAGGTACTTAACTCACACAGTCAACCCTGGTTCAGTATTCACCATGTGATACAGTCCCAAAGTATCACAAGGAGAGCAGGAGCATGTCCTAAGCACAGCCAGGCATGTCAAAAGAACAAAAATAAACAAAACAAAACCAGAGAAAATCTGGCAGATTTGCTGTTAAATTTACAGTTTTTAATACTAGCTTCAACTCTCTCTAAGGTTCTTTGTCATTGTGGGACATACTTCTTTAGGAGTGACCACTGAGTACAGAGCTGAGTAAGCCCTGAGCACCACTGGGTGTATTCCAAAAGTTCTTTTTTTATTAGTGTTTTGAAACTGTTCATAAAGCAATAGCTATGCTTCAAGTGCCTTTCCTAGTCCTTACTTAAAAAAAAGTGAATGTTTCACTAAATTAACCAAAATTTGTATTATATAAAATTTATTTTTCTCATTCAATTTAATGGGGACAAATTGGCTGGCCAAAATAATATAAAGTACTTTATTCTGGAATTACTTGAAGATAACAAAAATGTCATACTGCAGCACTTCATTTTTAATTCTGAAATATCTCCTTTTTTTGATAATCCGGAACCATTAGTTAAGTGAGTTTGACACAAACCCAAACATATATGCCATAGAGAAATCTGTTATTCTGATCATGTACTAGCTACTTATATTCTGTTGTTCAAGTTATGCTAGTGTTATCACCATGAAGAATAAACTCCCAATGGAAAAACAGTCAGTAAAAATGCATGTGGGAAACATCAGTCCAAGAGAGAGACTGAAAACTAGAGCTTTCCTAAGGATGCGTGTGCCAGTGATTGATACTGGCTAAATTAAGAGACTGGGTTACCAAATACAGTTGCTGTCTTCAGCATGGTGTTTGTGTCACATTTTTTGAGGTGAGGTAAAAATAATTGGGTGTGTATGATATACTGTGATGGGCTTATGAGGAAATAATGCCTTTAAATCGCAAAGAAAAAGTCCTTAGCTAAGTGTCACACTGATAAACTGCAGAAAGTTCCATGTAACTTTTAAAAACCAGATGCTTTGTTTTTATAGAGTGTGGAACTGTGATTCATTCTTTTAATCCTCTTCACAGAATATTTTCTGAAAATATATCCAACTTCCCTAAATCTAAACCTGGAGGTACAACTATTTCTAGTTGCCTTGAAAAGATCTTAGCTGTTATACCGAGCTGTAAAGTTATGAATAGAGCAGCTTTCAAAAAGAATCACTATCTCAAAAACTTAAATTCCTTCACTAACTCATATTTATCAAAAGAGGAGCTTTTCAAAAAATGTTTCTTTGTTTTTAACAAAGAGAATTAATAATGTATCTTTCCAAGGCAACATGTACACTTAAATAATAGTGTTTTAGACAGCACTGGGGAAATAAAAAGAGGCATTATTCCACAAGTCTACCCACCAAAGTCCCCAGATCCAATCATCCAGTCTTATTTATCTTTAGATTTCAATATACGTTTTTATTTTCAAGACATAATATTTAAATATACAACTTTTTTTTAGTTCCCTCAAATATTTTATATTCTCTCTCTCTCTCTCTCTCTCTCTCTCTCTCTCTCTCTCTCTCTCTCTCTCTCTCTCTCTCTCTCTCTCCCTCTCCCTTTCTCTCTCTCTCTCTCTCATGTGCTTCTCATATTGTTCAGGCAAGTTTAGGGATCATTGCTCAAACAGACTCAGGAGAACCTATGGGGTACAGGGATGGATGCAGGTCAAGCCCGTGCAAGGCAGATGCCCTACCTGTACTATCTCTCCAGTCCCCAAGCACTTTTTTGACCTTTCTGTGAAAAAAAAATACAGAGCCCTTTTTAAGGATACCCTGGGTAATTAATGTTTTTTCTAACTTTTCAGAATCATGCTCCAATTACAACGATGAAAATTTCATCTAAAAAGGTAAAAATAATAAAGCTATTTCATATGCATGTCAAAATGATATTATGAAAATATACATTTTATAATTTCTGAAAACATTATAGTACTTAACTATAGTTATAGTACTTAACAAATAATACTACCTAAACTATACCACAGGATAGCCTTTAAGTTTTGTGTATCATTTACTATCTTCCTAATAGCTATATATTTTGTATAAAAGTTATCAAAATAGTACAATCTATATAAGATTTTTTAATGCTCTGTAGAGTCTGTCTCCTCAACTATTCCAGTGTGTGAAGCCAACCAAAATAAAAGTTATCTTTCTGAAGGAAGAATTTAGCAAGATATTTGGGCTACTATAATATCACAAACATTCTCAGGAGCTTAGAATAGCAATCGATCCTTTTTTGATTTTCTGCTGCTGTCACATGCTTGAAATGTGCAGTACAGACTTTTATGCTTATGTCTAAAGAAGTTCTATCTTATAGGATTTATATATGTCATTTAAACAGATCCATCTGTCTCAGATATGAACCTATCTGGATTGAACATATGAACATATCAGGATTTAGGATTTGGGAAGAAATGTTGAACTGTAATGATCAAAAATGTTTAATTTCATAATCTGTGATTATATGTTTCATTTCTATGACTCCATTTCTATGATCAATTATACACCAATCATAGAAATGAGAAGTGTAAATATTAATATGTAAAGAACAAACTCTTCAACAACCTCCATAAAAGTTCTTCAGGGTGAAATGAAGGATTAGAAATGGAGTATGCTTCAGAGTAGAACTGACATCATAGAACTTACTTGATCACAAATTATAAGAAAATAATTTGAGTTCAGTAATCTGTTTCTCTGTAATACAAAGCCTTTCTCACAAATGAATTAGTGCATATAAGCTGCTTTAGTCGATCCTTGGGAACAGCTTTTTGTAAGAGTCTGTCTTATTTTTTTTGGAATATTGAAATAATGATTTTATGTGTTAGCACAATTTTGCCATAACTATAGTAATCTTCACCATATTTGGTCTGGTACCAATGAAGACATATTCCAAAGTTAGCCCTGTACTCTTTTCACATGATTAAATTTTTATAATGAAAAATAAATAGAGTACAAAAAGAACTAAAGATCTCAACCGTAAAAAATGTTTGTATGATATATAACAAACATTTTCCCAAGTAATAAGAAGCCATTTGTCATTTTCCCTAATGTCCTGTTAAGTTGATCCCAAGTCAGGATTCTTTGAAGTCAGCGGGTGAGACCTTTGTTTACTGTAGTTTAATGGAAAGAGAAAGTTTTGAACAAAATTCAAAGTAACACAAAGCAATTATATAACATAGAGATCCAACATACAGTTACAAGTTTCAGCTTGTAGTTTAACTTGTAAACTTGTAGTTCACAATACATTGCATGAAATTCCAATATAAACACATGGAGACACACAAGAAAATGTATCCGTTTTCAACATCTTATAGTGTCAATAAATTTAAGTATTTTAATGAAACCTTTAGGTTTCAGGTACAGTGATTGATTTCATGGGAATTTCTTTTCAAAACCACGTATCACATTTTTTTTCAGTGTGAAATTGTCAATATGTGAATATATTTAAATATCATGAGTTTAGAAAGTTCACTATGCTCAATCCATTTTAATATCATTTTTGTTGCTTTATTCTCTACTTTATTTCCACACACATTATAGAAGAAAATAGCTGTATTATAAAAAGAAAATATCTAGGATAAAATAGTCTATTTTCCTCTAATAAATCAATTTCTTTAAAATACATTAATTACCCATAGAGATAGTACAGGGATTTAGATGCTTTCCTTGAATACACCTAATCCAGGTTCCACCCCAAATTTGCTGTGTAGCTTTTATAAATCTTCATTCTCTCTTGGAAAAAATGGGATTATGTAATAAGTATGCTACAAAGTTTTATAAGAACAAAATGTAGTAAGAGCTAATTTAAATAAAATGCTTAGAATAGAATCTGGCTTATTAGTACTAAATGCATGATAACTGAAAGTAATAATACACTATCAGGTTTTAATTCCAATCAAACTTCATATCACATTTCATTCCGTAAAATTTAAATTTTTTATTTAAATAATCTTTTTTTTCATTACCCAGAAAATGATTGACCCTTTTTCAGAGGTTCACATTGGAAGAAAATGTCCTAGGTGCCAGAGGGACTCTAAGAAGCAGCTAACTGCCAAGCCTAATGCATCAAAGGCACAGCTACTGATTTAACATTAGATTGAATATACATATGGAAATGTATAGATATGCGTGTGCGTGCATTTATATATCCAAGTGTGTGCTCAAATCCTAGCAAAGATATTGTATGCTAGTTTGAATTATGTAGTGTCAGTGATTTGTAAAATAAGGAGTGTTAATTAGAAAACTGACCCTTCAACTCCTAGGAGCCATTTTATGCAGCCAAGGGATTTAGAGCAGTATCATAAAAAGTCCTTCATATTCTGCAAATGAGAGATCATGAAACCTTATGTCTTAGTGATGAATACTATAGGATTATACAAAAAGGTAAACTGTGTTTAAATAGAAATGATATTCTAAGTAATTTCAATTTGCTTTAAGGAGTAATATTTAATCTTAAACATGAAAAATGATTTTTATCTATTTCTTTATGTGTGCTTTTCCACCCCTGAACTTAAAATTCCTCTTTATTTTAAATTGACATTTTCAAATTTACAGTGATGCGTTGCCAGACTTAAAGAATAAGAAAGCTATCTTGTGTTTTGTAAAGAGATACCATTCAAAGAGAAATAATAATAAGACAACATAATTTAAATCTGTAATTTCTTACTCAAATCAGAGAGAACAATGACTCCCAATGTCTGAAACACACAAGCATTCTACATAGGGCTTTGTGCTTTTACTTTTTTTTTCCTAATTTCTTTTTGAAACAGGAAAGTGGTAAAGTTATAGGCATAGTAATGTAGGAAAATTCTATTTATTTTGGCATTATACCCTTCTGCACTTTGCTTCTCATTTTTAGTCTATTTCAGAATGAATCCAAGGGTTTGTGAGGTTATGCTATAATATGCTATTGATGAAAGTTTTCTTTTAATTTCCACATCTGAAATAAATCATCTTTCCTCTAATAGCAACAGTTGTACGTGAGCTCCAATGAAGGGGTTTCCCAAGTGTCTCTGCATCGCTGTCACATCTATGGTACAGCCTGTGCTGACTGCTGTTTGGCAAGAGACCCTTACTGCGCCTGGGATGGCCATTCTTGCTCTAGGTTTTACCCAACTGGGAAGCGGTGAGTTGAAAGTCAAATTGACATCATAGAGTGGTGCTGAAAGAAAATAATTGGTGTCACTAGATAATAACAAGGTGGTCTACAGCATTAGAATCAGTTCTACATTCAACACCTCATATAGTTTTTGAATGAGGAAATAGGCTTTTTAGAACTTGAGATGTTTGAGAATAAGTTAGTGTTTGAAAAATGTATTTTTCTACCTTTACAGCTTCTGGGCAACACAGCTCACCATCTGGCATCTGCAGCTAATCAGATATTTCAAGTCTCATTTAACTTTGCTTCACATTGCCTAATTTTTTATCTTTTTTGTTTTATGTGCTTTGATAGCCTAGGATCTTACCCATTTAGAGTTTCTCAGTGCTGCTTAATCCTCTTATAGTTCAGATAACCTAAAGCATTGCTTCAGGATTAGTGCCCTGATTTGCTTTCAAAACTTTGATTGATGACCATGCTTTGAGTAAACCCTGGAATAGTGCATGATTTCTAGTTAGATTAAAAGAAAGGAGAGGCTGGAGAGATAGTACAGCGGGTGGAGTGCTTGTCTTCCATGCAGCTGACTTGGATTCAATTTCTATCCCAAGCACCCTATATAGGTCCCTTGAGCCCAGTGGGAGTGATTCCTGAATAAAGAGCCAAGAGTAAATCCTGAGCAATGTGGGGTGTGGTCCAAAAAACAGAGGTGTGGGGAGGGGGGCTCGGGCAGACAACTACAATATTACATCAACTTGGAGGGTTAGCCAATAGTGAAATCAATAATAGAACAAATAATATGCAAAATTCAGGGTCAGCCATGGACACAGTTGTTTTGTGATGCTTACATATTGGTCATCATTAGTCATAGAACCAAAACCAATAAAAATTATTATCAGCAGAAAAGAGAATTTAGGTCCAATCATGGTGTTTTATAGCTTCTTTGTTCTCTGTGGAAAATACAGGCCTTTCAGGACTGACAAATATAGGCCTTTCAGACTGAAATAGACCTAGCTGTTCTGTATGCTAGGTTCTATATAAAAGATTATTGTTACTTTTTTATTCATTGTAAAATAATTCTTTCATGAAACTATTTGTTCTGGAGAGTGATCTAGAGTAGATGTACCCAAAATTATTTGACTTTTTTTTTCTCCAGAAAAAAATATCACCCAGAGACTCCTGATTAACAGTCCAGATAATGAAGAATTACTACTGCCCCCCCCACCTCCATTACAACAGCCACTAGTGGATGATATAATTCACTTTGGGAAACATTCTTCTTTGAGCTAGGTATATAAAATAAAAATGTGAAAAAGAATAAAAAAAGAAAAAAAACCTGCTTTGAAATATAGTAAGTTCTAGATGGGTAAGACAGACAATAAACGAATAGTGTGATACCTGAACGAAGACTTAAGTAAAATAAGAAAAAAATAGCATCAGGCATTATTTGAGAAGTCTGCATTTCTATGGAGAAAGACCAGAAACCCTTAAAGCTGGATCATGCTGGTATTGTTCATAAAAAGAGTCAAGGTGAATGGTATACTAGAATGAGAAAAAAAGAAGGGTGGGAAGAAGTGAATTTAGAGCACCAGAAGGTGGAGGAATTAGGAAGCTACCAAAGGCTATTCAGAGTGAAGTAAAAAGAACAACAACAAAAAACTACTGTGGAGTCCTGAGAACATATGTAACATTGTTTGACTTTTGATGTATAAAGATCTGTGGGTACACTGGGATAACTGGGATTAGAAGGGTTTGGAAGGGAAGGAGAAGATGCAGGGTAGTTAGAGTGCTGTAACAGTCCAGATAAGGAAGAACTGTGGCTTGCACGAAAATAGTACAGTTGGAGATGGTGAAACAGAGTTCACAGAATCTGCTGGTATATTAGACTATAAAAGAAATAGTAACTATTGATGTAGAGATAGTCAAATGTGGATTTTGAGTAGTTAGCAATATAAATCTGGAGCAGATGTACATGTCTTAGTTTATAACATTTTAAGTTCTGTTTAAAGGCATAAAGTAAAATAATACACCTGGTATTCACACCAATATTCTAATTTTCTCCATATAATTTGAAGGCTTACAAAGTCAATATTCTCTTGATACCCAATTCTATCTACAAAGAATTTCTCAACTCCATTGCCTTGATAGCTGTCTTTGCTTGGGTTGGAAATTTGAATTTAGGCACCAAGTGCAAGGAAATGTAATATAAAAAATGGGGGGTGTTTATTCTTTGTAGTAATCAAGTTGTTTTATGCTTTAATCATTGTAACACAATACTTAAAATTATTACTCATTGTAAAGCAAAGCTCTTTTCTTTAAAAAGTAGAGTTGAGCTAGAGCGATGAAACAAAGGATAAGACTCTTGGCAACCAACTGAAGTTTAATCCCAGGCACTGCATGATCCCCAAGTACTGCCAGGAGTAATGCCTGAGTATGGAGGCAGGAATAAACCCTGAGCACCATTGGGTATGCTCAGAAGTGTAACACCCCCTCCTCCAAAAATATACACAATAATTTAAAAATAAAAATACAAACTGAAATGTCTAACATCTGGAATAAATTTCATAAGAGAGAGAGATAAAGTACTTTTTTAAGAAAGTGTGTGTGTGTGTGTGTGTGTGTGTGTGTGTGTGTGTGTTGGCAGTTGCTGGAGGTTAGTTTACTGCATTTTACCACAGTTCTATTGGCAGACCAGTTTCTTATATAACATGAAGAAATTGATGTTCTGTATTCATTCCCTACAAAACATTCAGGTCTTGACTTTGAACTTCTCATATTTTATTTCGCAAGCAAAAAATATTTTTCTACTAAATCTCTGTACCTTACAGACCAACACTGCATACTTGATACATTTTTTTCATGCTTTTCAATATTATTTTTGGAATTTAGGCCACTCCCAGTGATGCTGAGGAACAACCCCTGTCTCATGCTTTGGAATCACCTCAAAGAGAAGCTAGGGGGATCATGCATTGTTGGGAATTGAACCCAGGCCCATTGCTTGCAACACATGTGTTACAGCACTTTGAGCTATCTCCCCAGCCCATGTCTTTAAAATTTCTGCTAAAATATGAGGTTACACAGTTGTTCTGTATTCTCTTACCTGTTATCCTTTCAAAGATAACCACAGTTATCCTTTCAAAGATATATACTTAAATGTAATTTTCACATTGTCCTTCCAATACCACATTTATAATCTTGATCATCTAGTTGTGGAAAACAAAGAACTGAAACAATATTATAGTTCTTTACTGACACATTATGTCTGGCAATAAACCATGCACCATGAGTAGGGAAGGAAAAAGTATCTAAAATAGTTATCATAACTATTTTTATTGGACTGGAGCTCTAGCATAGTGGGTAGGGCATTTGCCTAGCACGCGGCTGACCCGGGTTCGATTCCTCCACCCCTCTCAGAGAGCCCGGCAAGTTACTGAGAATATTCCACCCACACAGCAAAGCCTGGCAAGCTACCCGTGAAGTATTCCATATGCCAAAATCAGTAACACAATAGAGATGTTACTGGTGCCGGCTCAAGCAAATCAATGAGCAATGGGAGGACAGTGCTACAGTGCTATTTTTATTAGTGTCTTTTTTTTTTTGTCACTAGTAGTATCTTAATTCTAAAAAATAGCTTAGTAATAGTCATCTCTGGATGACTTAGTAAAAATTGTATTTAAAATTATACTAGGGCCCAGCACAGTAATAGAGTAGGTAGGGCATTGATTTTGCAGATAGCCAACTCATCTTTGATTTCTGGACCCCATGGTTCCCTGAACCCTCCCAGGAGTGATTCCTGAGCACAGAGCTATGAGTAAGCCCTATGCACAGCCGAGTATGACCCAAAATCAAGAATAAGAAATATCTGTACTGTTAGCTCTCGAGTGATTGGTCGGGGACGCAGAGATAAGGAAGGCATGTGGAATGTTTGAAAGTGGAAGGCTATAGCTCACTCAGGCCATTTAGCACTGAATAGCTTTCGTAGCCCCTTTTTATTGGGTTGACAGTCAAATCATCCAGCATACATCAGAGTACATAGGATCAAAATACATAAGATCAAAAGTACATATTATTTTGTAGTCTAATGATGCACAAAGTTCTTGATGAAGTAAATCAGACCACGTTGTAAATCTTTGCATCCCACTTCCCATGTATTCCACATCAACATCTATGCAAGCCTACACAATAACCCTATAAGGTATTTGTTTAATTTTCATCCAATCTTAGCACAGTTAATCTGTAACAAAAGGCATTGGAACATGCTGACCCCAACCCAGTTCACTAAGAGTTCCTAGCTGTTTGCAGCTGTGATACGGCCTTGTTCGCAGGGCAGCACATTCCTGGAACATCCTCATGACTCTGGTCAGGCTCCAACACTGTACTAATATAATGTCCAAATTATTTTCAGATTTAAATATGCATATATTCACAGTGAGTAACATGTGAATAAATTATTTCCCAAACTATTTTATGTAGTGTTTGTTTTATTTATAAATTCAATATCAGGTGATCAATATTATTATCTGGAATATTTTCCATGTTAATTTCCTTTAATAATGTTAACTTACCCAGTTTCATTTTTGCATTAGTTATATTACTGAAACTTCAAGCTCACTTAGAGTAATTCATATGGATAGAAAGTTCATTTGTTGGTAAAAAGAAATGCACTGGTATTTGGAAACAGTTTGAATATATACATTCATGTAATAATTTTTAAAATAGCATTGACACAGTAAGTAACCTAATAAAGAAGTTACCATAGCAAATGATATGAACATTTATCATCTTCAACCTTATTTCTGTCAAGGATTGCAATTTAGCCTCTAATTTTATTTATTCTATTAATTATCTATATGTGTAGATTTGTAACAAAATAATCAATTTAGTCTTAAAGCACTTATGTATTATTTCTGTGTGAGAAGCAAATAATTTCATTGTTTATTCAGAAGAATAGAATCTAATGGAGATAATACTGGCAATATGTCCTAAATATCAAATTCTGTAAGCAGGGACCATAGAAGATAGTGCAACAGGTAGGGCACTTGCCTTGCACAAGGCCAACTCAGGGGCTTACTTTCCAGCATCCCATATGTTCCCATAGCCTATCAGAAGTAATTTCTAAGTACAGAAACAAGAGTAAGCCCTAAGCACTGCCAAGTGTGACTCTGTAACAAAACCAAAACAAAATTCTGTATGCAGTTTTATGCTGTGCTATTAGCAAACATTTATAATCTTAGATTAATGTCTTAAAAGGAATCTACACATAAAAAGGGTTCAGATGGTCACCTTACTAGTTTCATCATTGAAGCCAGGCCTTATTAACATTCTTCTCCATAAGAACGTCTGAAATCTCTGGCTATAGAATACTATAAATCTAGATAATTCATCGTGACTTTCCTGATTATTAATATGGAATCACAAAGTATTGTTCACAGTATTGTTCAATAAATTCAGTCATTGGTACTGCTTATCTAGATGACTGAAAAAGACCGATTCAGTCATTCGAAGCCTGGTATGGTGCTTATATGATATATACTCACAAGTTAGTGGGAGTAAATCCTGGTGATCTTCAAAATATAGTAAATAAATGCAGTAAAAACTTGATAGAGGAGTTAGTCTGGAGTACAGAATTAATTTTCTTTCCTGACACAAGATTAAATAATTTGTGTATTCATTAATTTAGTTATGAAAATATAACATATAACATTAAGTGTCATGTGAATTTTTTGTATTTTTTGTTGCCACACCTGATGATACTCAGGGTTTATTCCTAACTGCACTCAGGAATCACTCCTGGTGATTCTTAGAGAACCAAACATATGGAATCCTAGGGATCAAAGCTGGGTCGGCTGTATGAAAGGCAATCACCACACCCGCACTACTATCACTCTATTCTTAAACATTTTGAGAAATAATTCTATAGCTGGAACAAAGTTTTGTAACTATAATTTTAAGATTTGGTATATATATAGTCTATCGATTACATAAACTATAGACACTTGCTATTATATATACCTTTAAAGTGATTTTTTATTATTGATTTTGAAATTAATTTCAATCTATAAATATAGTAATGCCTATGTGATTTTAATATTTTTGTTTTTACTAAATATTCTGATTTATCCTTCAGGGTGAAAAATTTGAAAGACATAACAGCTAACCCAATTCAATGATATTCATATGTGGGGTTTTTAGCACTGATAGTAAACACTCTCATATCTTCAATTTTTAAAGAGAGCTCTCTCCCTTCTCTCTTATTGCATTGTTGATATTTTCCATGCATTACTAGTAGAATTTCAGTTGCTCTATTTTTGCTTGTTGTGCTATATAATGCAATTGTTTTATATATGTATATGACAAATCTAAGATTCATAAAATTCAACAATTGGCAAATAATTTAATTCATATTTAAGTATGATCAGCTTACAATATATCTTTGCTTTAGGAGGAGCCGAAGACAAGACGTGAGGCATGGCAATCCACTGACTCAATGCAGAGGATTTAATCTAAAAGGTATCAATCTTTTTAATTAATTAATTTATTTATTTATTGTGCTTTTGGAGTCATACCCGGCAATGCTCAAGGGTTACTCCTGGCTCTGCACTCAGGAATTACTCCTGGTGGTGCTGGGGGGACTTTATGGGATGCTGAGAATTGAACCCTGGTCAGCCGTGTGCAAGGCAAACGCCCTACCCACTGTGCTATCGTTCCAGCCCCAAGGTATCAATCTTGACTAGTGATCAAACTTGGTAAATCCCAACAGTGCTCCAGACCACACTAAGGAAAATAATTATGATCCAGGTTTTTCATTAAAAAAAAGAATTACTAGAAAAATTCTTGGTATTTGTATATGGCAGTTAAAAATTCAGTACTCTTTGTAAGTCTTCTCAGGCTGATGAGGAATGCAAGTGTCTGGAAACAAAAATCCCTTGGAAATTAAAGGTATTTGCTAGTTTTTCACACAGGTGGTCATTGCAGTTGAATTCTTAGCTACAGTTTGCCTTCTGAATAATAAAAAAAAACATTTCTAGTTGTTTATTCTTTAAAAGAACAACTGCAGTAGCATTCTGATTGAAAGTGTACATTCTGGGGCATTACATGTGTTCACACCTTCTATTTCAAAGATTTTTCATCTTCCCATGAAGTTCTAAGACCGTTAAATACTAGCTCCTAATTTACCTCTTTCTCGTCTTTGTTTAGCCTCCATTCTTCTGGTTACCTCTAACTTTAATATTGCTATGTACAGTATGAGACTAACACCCAAGACAGTAGTAACGAGGGCCAGAAGGATTGGTCCACTATTGGAAGTCTGCTTGAAGTGCTTGGGGAAAAGGCAGTTGGATAGAGAAGGGACCACGATGACAGAAATAGCTGGAAATGATCATTCTGGATAAAAACTGCATGCTGAATGTAGGGAAAGGAACAAACACAATAACCTTTCAGTCTCTGTATTGCAAACCATAATGCCCAGAAGAAGGGGGGAGAGAGAGAGAGAGAGAGAGAGAGAGAGAGAGAGAGAGAGAGAGAGAGAGAAAGAGAGAGTGGTGGGTAATGGACACTAATGGAGGGAAGGATGTTGGAACACTGTATCACTAAAATTGATTATGAACACCTTTATAACTGTATCTCATGATGACTAAAAAATGTAAAAAATTCTTTGCACTCCATATAAGTGGAATCAAATCGTATGTATCCACTAATAACTGACCCATTTCACTTACTTTATGCCTTCAGCATTTATGAGGAAAAGGGAATGTTAGGCCATACCTGGCAGTGGTCAGGGTTTACTCCTGAATCTGTGCTCCGGTATCCGGTGCTCCTGGTGGTGCCAGTACTTGGGGAACTATATATGGTTCCAGAGATTGAACCAGGGTCAGCCCCATTGAGGGCAGGCACTTTGATCCCCATGCTGTTGCTTCAACCCTGCCATGAATTTTTTTTATATAGTAACATATAAGAATTTCTTTCCTATTTAAGAATAAGTAATATAATATTGTACAGCATATTCCTATCTGCATTCTGCAATCATCAGTCACTGGATGCTTCTACCTTTCATGTAATTTGAATAATTCTACTCTGAACATTAGTGCAATTTAATGCCTTTGTTTACAGTTTGTACTTATTCCTTATAATTTTGGTAATCTTGCCTTGAATTTTTTAATAACTTTAATCCCATAACTTCCATCCTGAAATAGAAATACTGTGGGTATTTTTGTATTATTTTGTTTATATTTTTTCTTTGTTTGGGGACCACACCTGGCCATGCTCCAGGCATATTCCTGTCTGTGTTTTAAGGATCACTCCTGGTAGGGCTCTGGAGACCATATGGGGTGCCAGGGATTTAACCTGGGTTGGCTATGTGTAAGACTTTATTATCTTGCTAGCCCCAGAAATATTGTATTCTTACATTTTTTTTCTTCATTAACTCTCTTCCCCTACCTCATCAACCATAATTATAAACAGGTACTCCTAAGATCAACAGGATGTTACAATTCTACAATTAGTAAAACTTAGCACTGGAATGACTATTTCTAGTCTTTGGATCTGAGCTTCTATTTTGTAAAGAATACTATTCTGGGCCAGTGAGATAGCTCAAAGGGCTGGAGTGTTTACTTTATATCAGGGAACCCTCAGCACCTTGTGGTCCATTAAATACAACCAGGAGCAGCTCTCTAACAAATACACAAAATGTAATAGTATTACTGCATTAACTACACTAACTTCAAAGAGAAAATATATTGTCCCATACATCATACTGATAGAATAAATCTGATTACTATTTCTCATGTGTTGAGTACTTTATAAATGTGTGTGACTTTCCATTCACAGTAGTAGTGGTCTTGTTGGTAGGTATGGACAGCAGAGGTACGAATTAAGAAATATCAGTGTTGAATTTGTGTCTGAACCTAAAATAGGTGTTTGTGTGTGTGTACAACCTTACTTTAGACTCAATAACTGTACTAAAGTAAGATCTATTATTATCTCCACTTGATAAATGCAGATTTTTTTGTTTAAATTATCACAGAATTATACTAAATTTTCTTCCAATTTAAGAATTTTAGTAAATAACCTGCAGGAAAAGATAATAAACTGAATGTTTTAGAGCCAAATAAAATTGAAAACTTACCTTGCATGCAGCCAGATTTGATTATTGCTACTATATGGTCCTCTATACATTGAGAGGGAGAGACCTGGAGTTCCTCAACACCTGGGTTCCTTGCCACACCAGGGACCAGGCAGCACCACCCTTGGGGCCCTTGCATTGAAGCATGTGTAAAGCAAGAATCTTCAGTGAGAACCCTGGACCTCCTGAGTACCACTTGAGATGCCCTTCTGCCCCAGGAAAAAAAATAAATAAATAAATCAGAGAATTCAACTAAATTGGCTAAGGACTCAGCTATTACTGATGAAGTCTTGGGGCTTCTGATTCCAAACACTGTTTCTAATCACTACTGTCCTCTGCAGCCACTTCTTTGCTCACTGACTTTTCCTGGGATTCATCTATCTATCACATGTTGAATTTGAGTTTAAGAGTGGTACGAGCCTGACTTTAATATTCTCTGGCATTCAGTAGCTCATTAATTAGAATATTGTTCCTTATAACTCATAGCCTCAGCATGCTCAATTCTAAAAAGCTGAGAAAATATAACTTACAAAGATGTTATAATAATTACATGTTCAAAACAGTATTAAGTACATTCTTTGGAGTAAAATGATTCTTGAAAAAACATGGATTGTCTCATGTCTTTTTCTTTTTCCCATTTGATTGAACACAACAAATAAACAGTATGTAATGGTCATTTTGTTAAGTGATTAATTTGCCTTTGGAAGGCTCCAGTAGTTTACCACAGACTTACAGGGAAATAAACATTCATCTAGAAAAATACACTCTAAATTCCATTGTTTCTTTTCTCTCACCCCTTACTTTTTTTTTATTTTCAGCATATAGAAATGCGGCTGAAATTGTTCAGTATGGAGTAAAAAATAACACCACTTTCCTTGAGTGCGCTCCCAAGTCTCCACAGGCATCTATCAAGTGGCTGTTACAGAAAGACAAAGACAGAAGGAAAGAGGTGAGTAATAACGCACAGCAGCAATCAATCAGGGCTTTGAAAAGAGCATTAAATCACCACTATTCAACCAGGTTCAGATCAAACAAAAAAGGAAAAGCATATGAACATCCTTTTATGTCTATGGGATGACAAGTGCCACCTTCTTTCAAATCCTTTGTCCGCAGAGTTGATGGATTAATTAGAAAATCCTCTCCGCTCACTCACCTCTGTAACATAATGATTGAAACGAGGTCTTGGGCACTCTGACAGGGCTATTGATGTGAGGAAGCATTTGTAAAAGAAACAAGATGTGTGCAGATCCAGAAGCCAAGTCTTCACACAACAGCACCTTTGTGTGATTCGCAAGATGAAAAGGGGCCTTTAAAAAGAGTTTAATTTTCCATCATAAGAAATTACATTAAACTAAAACCTTTACAGCAGAGAGCATTCTTCTGCTGTGTGGTAATGTTTCCATGACTTTGTTATTCATAACTCTCAGGTTTGGTTTAGGAAATATATAGAATCATTGTTTATGAAACCATTGTTTATTTAGTGATATTGTGGGGAGGACTAGATTTTCAAATAAAAGGATACTTATATTCACCTCCCAGTGATGGAAAATAGCTAAATCAAAAGTGAATCATGAAAAAATGGTACAAGGTAAAATATTATAAATAATTCCATAATTTTGATGTCACTGTTCTGACAAATTGAATCACTATCACCCCATTGTTCATCAGTTTGCTCGAGTGGGCCAGTAACGTCTCCATTCATCCCTGTCATGTGCTAGTGGACATATTGGGGCCTGCTTCAGGGTCAGGTGAATGAGGACCATTCACTACTACTGTTTTTGATATATCAAGTACGCCCCGGTTAGCTTGTCAGGCTCTGCCGTGCGGGTGGGATGCTCTCAGTAGCTTGCCGAGCTCTTCGAGAGGGATCAAAGCTTTGGGGGCACCCTCTAATCACCTTTACAGGTGTTCCCAGTCAGGCATATAGGTGGGTATGATACTCTCAGTAGCCTGCCAGGTTCTCTGAGAATGAGAACTAGAGAGTAAGAGGTCGTGCAGTCGCAAATGCCGCCGCACACTTTCAGGAGCTTGGTTTTAGAGTCTCTGTATCCTGGCCGTTGATGGGGTTACACAGAAGTTGGTAGGTGTAACTGTCTAGCTACTGGAATGTGGAGGAGCTGGGTGGAGGAGGCCCAGTCCCGAACCGAGCAGGCTTGAAGATCTCAGCCCTGGGTCCCGCACACCTGGGTTCCTCTGCCGGTTCCTTGTCCAAGCGTGTGAAGAGTGGTCTCAGCATGGCTTTGGCTGAGTCCCAGAGGCCTTCAGCTGTCGGGGCTCTGCTCAGGGCAGAGAGGGAAACTCAACCTGCCCTCCTTCAAGGGGCCCCAGTGAGGACAGCCAGGCGCGGGGGCAGGAGACAAATTGAATGAAGAGTAAAAAATATATACGTGTACATATAAAGCCGTAAGGTAGTCTAAGGTGTAACAGCAATGTATCTTAAAGTCTGATAAAGTCTTGGGACTGGAGCGATAGCACAGCGGGTAGGGTGTTTGCCTTGTACGCGGCCGACCCAGGTTCGACGCCTAGCATCCTATATGGTCTCCTGAGCACTGCCAGGAATAATTCCTGAGCGCAAAGCCAGGAGTAACCCCTGAGCATTGCCAGGTGTGACCCAAAAAGCAAAAAAAAAAAAAAAAAAAAAAGAAGTCTGATAAAGTCTTCTCATTGACATGTGTTCTCCTATTGATAGTTTTAGTATTGCAATTACATTATTTATGAATCTGAAGAACACATACAATTTCAAACCACAGTACATGGTTACTCCATCAAAGTAACTAAAATAAACTTTAGCTCCATATGAAAAAATACTTTTTAACTGTACTATCCTAAGATTTTATGAGCTGTTTGGGAAATTGTTTGTGTCACTGACTAATGGCCACTTTTATAAGAGATGTAATTGTCTAGAGAAAAGATAAACTAGAGACAAGTTTGAGGGCCCCCCCTTTTCCAAATCTATGGTGACAACAGTATTTTAATCTTAAATTAATAAATAGTATGAATTGAGTGCTGTTGTTGCAACAAGATGTTATACAGGAAATCTTAAAATATATGCAGTACAATTAAGTCTAAATTTTTTAAATTATTGAATTATTGCTGTGCAAAGTCACCCTTGGTAGAAACAATGCATACATGTGTCTGATAACTACAGTAAAAAAAGGGATTGTCTAACAGATTTTTTATGATAATTTATAATTTGGTAAAAAGTTCAATATATGATAACATTCAGGTGACTAGATTTGTTATTTAAATTTTTACCAAATTAATATATAAAATCTAGAAACGTGCCAGAGAAATTAAATGGTATGTTTTATTGATTTTATCCCCAGTGACATTTCAGTTCTGTTTCTGGATGCTCAAGTTTGTGTCAACTCCAAAATTAGTGTCTTGATTTTCTGTCTAATTCAAGTTTATAGGAAGACCATGATCAATGAGGAAATAAGTTAATCGTAAAAAGAAAATCTGGGGGCTGGAGCAATAGCACAGTGGGTAGGGCATTTGCCTTATGTGCAGCCAACCCAGGTTCAATTCCCTGCATCCCATATGGTCCCCCAAGCACTGGCAGGAGTAATTCCTGAATGCAGAATGAGAAGTAAACCCTATGCATCACCAGGTGTGACCCTAAAAGCAAAAGAAATAAAAAAGGAAGACTAATACAATTCTGAAAATCTGTTGTGGTCAGAATTTAAGCAAATCATAATTCTATTTATTTTTACTTTAGTAGAATAAATTGATATTTTATTATAGTTTTCCCATAGTTTAGTAAATACACTTTTTTAAACTAATGATATGTACATAATGAATATTTTGAGGGGGCCACACCCACTTCTGGCCCTGTGCAGAGGGATCACTCCTGGTTGTGCTCAGGGGACCATCTGTGGTGCTAGGGATGGAGACAGGGTCAACAAACTGCAAGGAAAGCACCTTACACACTATGCTATCTCTCTGGTCCCAGTAATGCACATTTTTAAAAGTAAGACAAATGGTAAAATCTCAGGGAAGAAAATACAAATGATTTATACCGAATAGCATAAAGTAAAAACTAAAAACTTCTTTCACTCCATTTCAAAATATATTACTCACCAAAGCATAAGAATACCAAAATTGTCTTTTTGAATATTTTATATTCCTCCAGCTATTATAATTTTTATTCCCCTCTTCTCCTCCCACTTCTTTCCCTCACTGTCTCTTTTACATTTCTTCTCTCTTACACATACGCATACTTACACATTCACACATATGTATATACACATGAAGTTACTTTGATTTTATTGGCTGCATAATTTTTAAAACTGCCATGTTATTTATCTTTTATTTTTGTGGGGTTCTTTCTATTTTAAAGAGCAATATGTTAATGACTCCATATTCTGAAAATATGTATATTTTCTATAAATTTCTGGAACTGTACTTTCTTTACCAACCAATATAGCAATTATATGAGTATTATAAAATTGGACACCAGGCTAAAACAGGGTTCAGGTCCTGACCTCATCCATGGCCCAGTTTGAGCCCCTGAGCACCACAAGGAGTAAATCCTCTATCCCCTAAAACTCAGACTCCAAAATCTTTCCCAATTTTGAATGAATAGAAAAATATTACTTCTGTTTCATTTTTAATGAATTTCTCACTAAGTTAATTTAAAAATTAACACCAAAACTTTGTTTTATACCTTTTAGTACTACTTCTTCTAGTTTTATTTTATTTTGGGTGGTGATGATGTTTGGGTCACACCCGGTTGTGCTCAGGGCTTACTCCGGACTCAATGCTAAGGAGTCACTCCTAATTTTACATGAAGAACTATATGTAGTGCAGGAGATAGAATCTGATTTGATTGCATGCAAGAGAAGCTCATTATCTGATGTACTCCCTCACCAGCCCAAGTTCTGTTCTGTTGCTTATATTTTTGTACTGTGCTTTGTGTTTTTGTGAATGTTACATTTTATCTATAACAACTAGTCTTTGATTTGGATTTTATTGATGAGAAAATATATGCCTACACAGAAAGACACCAGTTAGAAAAGGAGTCATATACATTTAGTTTGCTTTGATCTTGTTTCATTTTGTTCCTAGAGAAAGAATGTTTCTGTCAAGTAACATTCCTGTTACACATGTCAAGTAACTTTTTTCTACTTAGGTTTTTAACTGTTTATTCACTAACCTGGGCCGGAGCAATATCATAGAGTGTAGGGCTTTTGCCTTGCATGCAGGTGACCCAGGTTCGATTCCTCTGCCCCTCTCAGAGAGCCTGGAAAGCTACTGAGAGTATCCTGCCCACATGGCAAAGTCTGGCAAGCTACTTGTGATGTATTTGATATGCCAAAAACATTAACAACGAGTCGTTAACACAATGGAAACGTTTACTGGTGCCCGCTCGAACAAATCAATGAACAACGGGAGGACAATGCTATTTACTAAACTATAGCTGTAGCTATGAGGAGGATGGATTTCAAGCATATAATAAATTCTCAAGTTTAAGCCTTGAAGTAATTAAATATTAGTCTCCAAGATATTTATTGACTTTCATTACAAAGAAAAATCTTTAGGAGTCTTTAAAATCTATAACATCCCGGGGCTGGAGCAATAGCACAGTGGATAGGGTGTTTGTCTTGCATGTGGCCTACCCGGGTTCGATTCCCAGCATCCCATATGGTCCCCTGAGCACCGCCAGGGGTAATTCCTGAGTGCAGAGTCAGGAATAACCTCTGTACATTGCCAGGTGTGACCCAAAAAAGAAAAAAAGTCAATAACATCCCAATTAATTATTAGTGTGAGCTAATTGGGTAAAACACCTCAATTATATTTAAAATATGTTCCTTTCTTATAAAATATTTAGTTTTAATGATACTCATTCATTGGAAAAAGCTAATACTCAGACCTTATATCATATTTCAACTAATACGTATTTTTGTATAATAAAAGACAAGAATCCCAAGCTAAAACAAAACCTTAAATTATCTGAAAATTTCATTGTGACTCAAAATCCAAAAGCAACTAATACTCTATGCTTATGTGTGGAAAATCTTCTATTTAAAATAATGCACTTCGTTATTTTGGGCAATTTAGGTGATAATTTTACCTCCTTTTAATAAAGTCAGTGTCCCTATGATCTGCACACACACACAAAAAAGGCAATATGACCGACCAAAAGTTTATGTCTACCAAAAAGGAGATAATTTAATCTTCAGAGTTTCTGCCAAATTTGTGAATGTGAACTATACCATGTATTTTCTTTAATGATATATTTTTAAATGGTACAGATTATTTTTATGAACTCTGATATGTCCTTAGGTCAAACTGAACGAAAGAATCATAGCCACTTCACAAGGACTCCTGATCCGCTCCATTCAGGATTCTGACCAAGGACTATATCACTGCATTGCAACAGAAAACAGCTTCAAGCAGACCATAGCCAAGATCAACTTCAAAGTTCTAGATTCTGAGATGGTGGCTGTTGTGACAGATAAATGGTCCCCATGGACCTGGGCCAGTTCTGTAAGGGCTTTGCCCTTTCACCCAAAGGACATCATGGGAGCATTCAGCCACTCAGAAATGCAGATGATTAATCAGTATTGCAAAGACACTCGGCAGCATCATCAACAGGGAGAAGAATCACAAAAGATGAGAGGGGACTATGGCAAGTTAAAGGCTCTTATCAACAGTCGGAAAAGTCGAAATAGGAGGAATCAGTTGCCGGAGTCATAATTTTTCTTAGATGAAGTTTATGTTTCCCGTAGCAAATGGTCTGTCTTCAATGATCAAATTTTGAGCAAAGAATCTTATGCTTTATCCATGAGAAATTCCAGAGAAAGGCAATTACTCTTAATGTGAATGTTACATGAACTGAAATGAGCATGCATTTTCTTGTATGATATTGACTAGCACTAGACATGCCATAGTCTTCATGGTGCTTATTAGTATTTAACTTAACTCCAGATTTTATTTATGTCTTTATTTACCTAGTCTTCAAAATCAATATGGTGGCTATCAGATGAGAATTCTTGCATCCCTTAGTTGAACAAGGGCCACAAACCTGCGATCTGCCTATCTAGGGGTTCAATTTCTTAAAGTCAGTGATTTTATGTGTGAAAGTAAAATGCCAGTTTTATAAACTACATGAAAGCTGTATAAATAAATGCATGTGACAGAGTAGCAGTCAAAAGATGTAGACCTGATAAGAAACAAGGAAGAAGGTGCCTAAATGTTGAGTAAGACAATTTTATTTCTTGAAGAGAAATGAGCTTATGTACTTTCAGTGAAATATATTATTGGCTTTTAAGATTCTAAAAGTTGTAAGTTGCTGATATCTATCACTGTTCTTCCCTTATTTCGGGAAAGTGAACTATATAACCCTCAGCATAGACATCTTAGATTGGCAGTATTTCATTTCATGGAAGCATTTAAGTTTTTATTCTTATGTTATTATCATACATACCAAAATACTTTCTTTTTGGAAATTAATTTATTCTAGATTCAGGAAATGTATTCTTGCAATGTTTATTGATTGCTATGTTTTTCTCATGTTCTAATCAATGTGGCAAGCTAGACAGTATAAGAAAAAATGTTAGTTAATAATAAAGAAATTGCTTTACCTAACCATTAAATAAAAGAACATTTTTGGTCATATCAAACTTGTATATGAGGGGTGAAACCACCAAAGTGGAAAAAAGACTAATGACCCATAAGAAAATGTAATATTATTAAGAGTTTATCAAAACTGTGATTGCTTTCTAATTCCAATAATTAATTTCAGTTACTAAGTCACAGCTTTTTTAGAAGATCAACCTAAAAAAGCGTACTCATTCTTAAGTCACCATTCATTTTTTAATAAACTTTGTGTGTGCTGAAGAGGTACTCATTTTCTCTAGAGAAATGAAAAAATATCTAACGTAAAAGCAAGTTGACATGCTTTCTTTTAAAAGAATGTTGATGCACTAGCTCACTGCTAATAAATACAAATGTAGTAAGTTTAGAATATAAAAAAATTATGTTCTTATTATTCTGTGGATAATTTAATTTGAATAATTTAATACTAAGGAATTTTTTACTACAACTAATGTTTAAGTGATAGAAATAAGAAAAAAATCGCACTATCATTTTTAAAACAAAGTATTTGCTCTTTATTTTGCTTTTTAAACACTCTTTTGTGCTTCCAGGTGTAAACAGAAATTATGTGATATCATTAATAGTTTATTTTCAATTAGCAGTACATAGATGTATCCAAGAATTGTTGAATATATCATCTTTTTTAAGCTCTGCCACATAAAACGTCAGTGTAAAACTTTAAGAACTAAAATCATTGTGAAAATCAGTTTAATTGATCAAAATCTAAGCATATGATTTATTATCTAAGTAATGGTAGATTATTATATATGAAAGGAAGCTTCAGTAGACAAAAGAGTAATCAAAATATACAAAATAAGTAAAGTACATTTTTAGAAGAGCTGTTTTTAAAAGGTTTTATTCCTAATAAATATGATTCTAAAATAATCTTTGAAACAGTTTATTGTATAAAAGGTGTACTTATTTAAATGGTGCAATTAAACTTCTCTTTTCTATCCTAGATGAGAAATAGAAATATGTCCCAATATTAAACTCAGATCACCTTCTGTGTTTATGGCCAATCTACCCTATGTACAGAGTTAAAGAAAGAAAAATTAACTTAAAGTCATACTTTAGGGTGCCCCTTGCTTCATGTAAATTAAGACTGTTAGACAATAAGGGTGTTTGGTTGTGAAATATCTTTTGTGCCTGAATTTAATATCTTCTACTCTGAACATTATTATATTGTATATACTTTATTACTTTTCTTCTAAATGTGTAGAAATCTTGAACATTACTGCCAAATACAAAGAAAATTTTCTTTAAAACAATGTCAACATGTACTGAATGTTGGTGGTTGGTTTTATTTTGTGTAGTTTGACTATTTGGGTCACTTAATGTATTATTTTCCTTTGTATTGTATATAAAATTCTCTAGAAAAGCACTTTTTGTTCAAAGTGTTGGTTTGTGAATAGATTTTTAGCATGATGAAGCTGTCATTACAGTGAATGTTCACTCCGTGTAAGAAAAAAAAACTAAATGTAGTTAGCACAATAATATTTAATTGGATACTGAAGGAATCATTTGCCTGTCAAAATAAAACGTTGATTTCTTCACAGTTGTCTACTTTTATTTTTAATTCAGGGTAAATACTTATTGACATTATAGAACCTGCTGAACCTTGTAATCGCATTTTTCTATTTTGTCTTCTTTATTTAATGTAATGCATCTAAAAATCTTAAAATTCATAACTTCCAGGACATACAGGAAAAAGTCACCTTGCACCACTCTCTCCCATTTTTAAAGTCTGAAACCTAGAAGTACCAGTGTTGTCAGTTTCTAGATGCATTTCCATGATGCTTTTCATATTTGCAAGGAACTCATTAGTTTTCTCTTTGGGGAGTCTTGCACATCCAATCACGTGAGGTGGATATTTAAACTATGTTGTTTGGCAGTAGAAACAGATTAAAGTTTCAGAGTCCTTGTGCTTTGGAGTCAAATTCCTTGTATTTAAATTGGAGTTTACTGTCTTTGCTTAGTAAATGTATTGAATCTCTCTGTCATAACACTTTGTTCAATTTCATACCATAAACTGTTACGATAAAATATATCATGTGGTAAATAATCAATAAATGTCTAAATATTTTCTTTGTTTAGAAGACAGTGACATCTTGCTAAAACAAGAAGGCCTCTTTCAGTTGTGTTCTTTGTCAAGTTATGCGCCAAAGATCTGTGTTGAAGAGTTTGCTGTCAGTGGATCGAATAACTCCTTGCCAGGTAAAATGAGCCTTTATAAAAGTAGGGGGATAAAGCCACTGTTTAATTCATAACTTTATTAACACATTTGAATGGCAACAGTGTTAGAGATTTTTATTTTCAGTCTGTTTTTGTGATTCAAATCTCAACTAAGAAGAAAAATGTACTTTTCTCAACAAATTTTTCAACCTAATAATTATGTGCTACCCCCCAATTGCATTATTATTTCTCAGTATTTCGTTCACTTACATTTTGAACTAAATTCAGTTTGATATAATTTTATTGTATCTCTTATAAAGTCAAAATGTTTCTGATACTTTCAGATTCCTGACTAAATAAAATTTTTAAGGAAAAGATGAGTTCCTACCTATTCTAATTGGAATCAAGAAATACCTTGCAGCATACTTGAGTTAAATTATTAAAAAAAAAAAAAGTTCAATCTAGCCAAGGAAATAATTTGACTAATGATATTTGCTTAAAGCATTAAGAATTTTACTTAATTGTACACACAACAAGACTATGGAAAACTTATGAAGATTATTTTTTCCTAAAATTTGTATCCCCCCATCTAATATCCTAGTACCTTGTGGTCATACATACAAGAACCTTTGCAAAACAAAAATAAATGACAACAAATTTTATGTAATATATTGTTGTTGTTGTTGTTGTTGTTGCCTTGTGTGCAGCCAGCCCAGCCTAGCCTGGTTCGATTCCTCCGCCCCTCTCGGAGTGTCCGGCAAGCTACCGAGAGTATCTCGCCTGCACAGTAAAGCCTGGCAAACTACCCGTGAGGTATTCAATATACCAAACATAGTAACAACAAGTCTCAAAAGTTACTGGGCCCACTCAAGCAAATCAATGAACAATGGAAGGGCAGTGCTATATTGTCTTGTTGTTGTTGTTTTGGGCCACAACCAAATGTGCTCAAGGCTTTCTCCTAACTCTGTGCTCAGAAATCTCATGGGGGGTGCAGGGGACCCGCTATAGGAATCATATAGGTATTGAGTATCAAATCATGGTCAGCTGAATGCAAGGCAAGTACCTTACTTGTGTACTTATCCCCAACTCCAATATATGTATTTTGTGTGAAATTAGTAACAATAAATTATTTTCCTAGGTGCTATTAAATGTATTAATATTTGTGGTTTTATAAAAATATTACGTTCATAATGTAAGGGGATTACACCATCCCTTGCTCTATAAAAGCTAGAGAAGAACTAGCTCCAAGATAAGAAAATGCCCCTTCACTCCAGTGTCTAATGCATTTGTGTCTTCACCTCATGAAATAATATTCTCCACACAGTTACAATTGTGTATTTCTCAGGGCTATTATGTTGCCATGCCTGAGTGTTACTTACATAAAGTGCTATTAAAGAATGACATTATAACAAACACATTAAAAGTGTTTATTCTACATAAGATTAACCCTCCACCCTGTAGTATGAAAGCAGGGTAAATTTTGTTCCTTCATTGTTTTGTTTTCTCTCAGCTATTTATATAAATTGTCATCCAAACATGCTATGAGATCACAACCAATGATCTCTTCCTGAAAAATAGATATATGATGAAATTCTTAAGAAAATAATTTATCCCTATTGTTTCTATGAAGATATATATATATATAATATATATATTTTTTAAATTTCACATAGACTCTTGTAACATGAGGGCAAGCAATGAGATGAAAGGGGACTCCTACTTTCTTAGGTCTTTTCAAACTGTTGTTTCTACAAGTCTATAGAAAAAAAGAAAGCAATTGTTCAGTTTTTGCTTGTTTGTGCTTTTGAGGTGGAGAGCAGGGGCATTGCAATCATATTTCTCTGCTGCACTGTGGCTCTTTAAATACAGAACCAAGTCTTTCAAAGTTGTTTATTTTGATTTGATAGAAACTCAGTTATAAATTATGGTTTGAGGTTGCAAGTCTGCTTACGTCATCAATAAACAAAGCAGTCATAGGAAACCAAAAATGGAGGAGGTACAACCTCAATCTTATCGCAAATGGAGTCTTGATGATGTTTGCACATTTGCGTGTGTATGTGTCATGTACAAAGATGATGTGATCCAAATATACAGAGCAGCTATTTATTTTCTATTCTATTTATTTTCTAAATAAATTTTAATTTTTGCTTTTACCTTCTGAGGTGAACTTCTCTACTTTTAAATATTATATTCTGGGGCCCTAGTGATAGTACAGCAAGTAGGACAGTTGCCTTGCATGCAGCTAGCTCAAGTTCAATTCCTAGCACCACATTTAGTTCCCTGCATCTGCCAGGAGTGATCTGTGAGCAGAGCCAGGAATATGCCCTGAGCATTACCAGATGTGGCCCTCAAACAAACAAAAACAATTATAATCTGGGAACATTACATCTCTCTTGTTGAATTGTGGCATTCTCTAAAATGGATTAGAACCATATTCTTTATTGTAATTGTGAGACTAAATTTAGCTAATATGTGTGGCATTTCTGCAGTGCCTGAAACAGTAAAAGTTACATAAGTCTGTGCTATTATTCTTTCATCAGAAGAGCAAAATTCCACCACCCCCCAAGTTTTGAACATTAACCTCCTACCTCATACTGTGACTAAATAAGTGAATTGATATTTTATGTCATTTATCTACATCAGTACCTGTGGCTACATTGTTTATCTGTTTTATCTTTTCCATCTGCTCAGATATAGCCCCTGTGTTTTCCCTTTCTTGCTGAATTAGAATCTTTTCAGAACCAGTGACATTTCTAATATGTCCTAATAAACTTAAGTGATTAGGAATTTTTCTGCTGTTCCTTTTTTGGAAGGGGAGGGTGGCATATTAGAGCCATACACAGTGGTGCTCAGGAACGACTTCTAGCTTTATGCCCAAGAATGGCACCTGGCTTTGCGCAATTTGAAACAGGTTGTAGATACATATAAGGCAAGTGGCTTATATGTACTATCTCCTTGACATTCTCAGTCTCCTTTCATTTTTTTGTTCTTGCAGTCTTCTAGGAAAGGTAAATCATGTCTGAATATATTAAACAGAGAAGTTAAATAGGTGCTAGGCAACTCACAGTGTTGTGAAAACTACCACTAGTATACCCATAAAATAATTTTATTGAGTATTTTATGCGAGCATTTCCATTTACAGCATGCATTTATAGGTAATCATTTGTTTCCTTGATAGAATTTTCTGAGGATGGATTCTTCACCTGTGTTTTTAAAAAGCAGTCCTGGCAAAAAAAATTCATTCAAAACTTACCTGAGTTAAGAAATATCCTAACGGCCACAAAATATGCAACACAACGATAATATATACTTTGTAATCTAGAATCTAAGCAATATTCCTTAAAAATAATTATAAATAACACACTTGAAAATATGTGCATAGGACTAAGCAGCATTTAACTAAGATCATGTCAAGATGCCTAGGTTTGACTTTCCAACTTACCGCTAGCCACCATTCAAGGACTAAGACAATTGCCATAGTTACAATATCACGGGACTGCTTAGAATTTACCTGTTATAAAAAAATGGATGTCAGATAATTTTGAATATTTTATTACTAAGTCTTTGAAGCAATAAACAGTACTTATTCTCTCACCAAAAATCTACTGATTACCCTGTGCCTGGAGATACAGTAGATAACAAAACAAGGACCTTCAAGTTTGGAAATCTTATCTATAGAGGTATGTATAGATAGATAGATAGATAGATAGATAGATAGATAGATAGATATAGATATATATGCTTGGAATATCACGTTTCACTCAAATGAGAGAAAAAATCCGGAGTTCCGACATCCGTCAACGATCAAGAATCAGGGACGCTATCTCATTTGCCAAGGTGTCAAAAATCAGATGGGCTGGTCACGTAATGAGATTTAAAGACGACCGCTGGACTAGAGCTGTTACCGACTGGATTCCACGGGATGTCAAAAGACCGCATGGCCGCCCACCTACCAGATGGTCAGACTTCTTCGTCAAGATCATGAACGATCGGTTTGAGGCTCTTCATGTTCCCAGAGCGAACAGATGCCATTGGGCTACACTAGCACGTGACAGGGACAAATGGAGATGTTACTGGCGCCCGCTCGAGCAAATCGATGACTAATGGGAAGTTAAGTGATTAAGTTAAGTGATCTATAGAGGTAAAGGGACAAAGAAATCAAAAGCAAATAATTGTGAAAACATCAGATTAAGATAAATACTTTTTTTTTTTAAGATGAGGATGGCATGCAGGAATCTGGCACGGGAAAAAAGAAGGGCATTCTGGGAGTAAGAGCAAGCTAGTAGTAGGGCTGGGGGTGAAAAGGCAATCCCCATAGATGTGAGGAATGACAAAGAAAAAGCTGTGATTGGATCTGAGTGCGAGAGAAAAAAAAAAGTTG